AAGCATAGAACCGTCAGTCACGTTTGAACGGAAGATGCCAAACTCCAGAAACGTATAAGTAATGCTTCCGGTTTTCTGGGATCCTTGACTGATTCCACGTGGAGGCCATATCCTTATTTAGAAACAAGAATATGTTCAAGCAGACATTTCCAAGTTATTACGTTTTCTTGAAGAAATCTCTTTTGTAATGGAAAAAGTGGAAAATTACTTTTGTGAAAACGGACGTTATGCTTAGTGGAAAAACTTATAATAGAATAAAGCATAGATGTATAAACAAGACCATGCAGAGATAAATGGTCCGAAAGCTTTCTGCGCCAAAGTAATACTTAGCTAAATTACTGAAGATCAGATTGTCAGCATATATATATATATATACTGCATTCATAAGTATTCATACTGCATCGAACATTTGCAGCTTATTTTATTCAGATATACACATGCTGTTTTTCAGCCAGTTAGAAAAACTCCCAAAGATTTCTAATACCTGAAGCCATGTTCGTAATACTCCATGCTCTCAGGAAAGCCATCTCAATCGATAGTAGCTTATAAAAGTATATGGTTTCTTCATACTTTCCAGAGTTCAGTTCCCTGGTAGGTCTTGAGTACTAAAAGGTTAGGCTCTGTCCACTAAATCACAAGCGCTGTATGGTCACAAAACTTAATCAAGTAAAGAGTATAGCACCTGCATAGTGACCATCATAGGTACTCAGAAATGAAGGCAGATTGCCATGAGTCTCTTACTCAGCTCCTGTTAAGCGTGACCCATCAGCAAAATTGTAAATTAAAATTGATAGAGCAATAACTTTTTAAAACTGTGGATGGAACTGGGTACCCCGTTTTCATAAAAAAATGTTTAACTGGAGCTGCTTCAATAACTCTACATAGTGGGTATGCGCGTCCTTGCAGTATCACTGACACCTGCACCTTTTACCACTTTAAGCAACATTGCAAATTTGTGATCATATCTTGAACCCATACTTCTTGTCAGGTGAATTAAAGACTACGTTATAAGGCACATTGAGAGAATTTCTATTCTTTTTCACAGCAGCGTCATCAGTGTTGGATCATGCAATATGTCCAGGGCTTTTTCATAAGACCAATAGGCCGTAAATGTTACTCAGGAGAAGTGCGACTGCCCGCTGACCTATTGCGTAAAAGTAGGTTGAATAAGGTGAAGAAAAAGGCTAGTTTTAATGGAAAATCAGTTACGCCGGGGGCAAGCAACAGCCCACTCATACTCTTTTCCCAGTAAGAAATCCAGTTACTGAGAGTCTCCCACGCCTTGCGAGGGGAACTCTAAAAGATCACTTATTTGAACAAAGGAAAAAGAGTTTACGCACAACGTTGGCTCCATTCAGTCGTTTATGTAATAAGCCAGGTGATAGTTGTGGTGAATACTGTTTAGTAGTGGCAGTAAGCGAACGAACGAACGAACGACCAAACTGCGAAACATGTAAGTTCAAATTTTGCATAGCAGTTGCCGTTACTTGTTAGAAATTATTAATGAATGACGATATTCCCCTAAGCAATTTCCCAGGTCACAGCATACATTCGAACAGTCACCCGCTGGTCAGCTGTTCAAATTAGTCGTTTTGGTCATCTTCGTTCTATTAAAATTGTTAAACCTTATTAAGGAATCTTCAAAAGTATGACCCAACGAACCTATAGGATATCATAGCGTTCCACGTTATAGCGCATTTCAGAAGTTGTCCAATTAAATGATTTTGCTTTGGATTAAAAAAGTTCCTTAGTTTAGAGCATATGCTACGAACCGTCTCCTTCTGTCTTAGCACCCTGCTACTGCTTCATTGGGTGAACGCGTGTGCACGAGCTGCACCCTGGGTGCGAGTTACGCTGGAGAGGTATTTTCCTCAACCAGGAGAAAGTAAGTATTACCTGTGCTGACTTCTACTATAGGTAACAGATAGCCAAGGAACTGCTGATCGCTTAAAAAGCCAAAAAATGATGGTTTCGATATTTACTTCCTTTTAAATTCATGCAATCAGAAACTGAGTTATCTGAGCCCATAATCTTTTGACAGCCATTCAGTAAAATGAGAAGTACGAGGAGCACATAATGAATCAGTGTTAATAAAGAATTAACATGAGTTCAGAATGCATAGTTTAAGCAAAAGAAACAGAAGCAGAACTTTGATATGCAAAATGACTGCACTCGTTAAATTTCATTACCTACTACGAAAGGGGTAATAAAATTAGCAATAATTTCTCTGCTCTAATTAAAATATATGCCTTATGCAACGTTTGAAAAGCTAATCTGACAGTGCACAAAGCGTACACTGATGCTTTCTGAAAAACGTAGAAACACACTACGTGAATGCCATAGAGGTCGTCGCTCTAACAGGGACAAATTAGGCTTCGTGGAAAGATGATAATTTCAAGTAGCATTTGACCAGTGTGAAATCTATTGTACCCAGTTTAAAATACTTCTATATTTATCAGCAGCGTATTTTCGTGGGCACTACCAGGGTGTAGCAGGTCTAAATGGAAAACTTTGGTAAGAAAACATTGGTTACTTACGTGACTGAATAGCTGGTTCAATTGGAAAAAAAGTCCCTTTCCTAAGATCAGGTTTCTGACTTCAATGAAAATTACTCATGCCGAAAGGTTAAGGAAATCATCTCTGGCAATAATAAGAAAAATCAGGCGACTTGTCTAGCACAGGCATCTCAGTCAAATCCGTAAGGGATGCGGTGGCCTCCGTTTAGGGCAATGCGACTGAAAAACTAGACGGGAAGACTACAATTTGATGATAAACGAAAACAGTTATGTTTTGTACGCATTTTAAATTTCTCTACATTTTAACTGATTAGCTGAGAAACACTTCAGTATGACTTCACGCCTGTGTCAAGAAAATGCACGACTTAATCCGTCTAAGGCTATGTTATCATTCACATGAAGAGAATGCAGTTCCCATTTTCACCATTTAAAAATATTAATATTTTAAACAGAAACAAAGGAAAGTCAAAGAAAACTATACTTTGAACGATCTCCCGGACTGATGCGCTTTGGATAGCGTTATAGCAAATTAAGAAATCTATGCAGTTGTTACAGAAGCGGACACTCGAAGAAACGGAAGCTTTACAAGTCCTTCGCGTTTATAAGAGAAAAAGAGGAAAAATCGTCGAAATTACTGCATGCTACTGAGTAATTAAAGTTGTCCGTACCGTTATATCATGCTGTCATAAATTATGCAAATGCGAATGGGCACCCATCAGTCATATGGCAGCTGGCTATCGATTCGTGGAAGAAAACATTAAAGAGCTACAGAACGTTTGCTAAGCACGCGCTTTAGGAAAACCTGCTTCTACTGTGCAACAGCAGAAAATTCAGCACAGTCTAAAATGATGCTTTCAAGTTGCGCTTGGATGAATCATACGTTGAATCTATTAATCATGCCAACATAAACTAAATTTAGACTTACCTTCCCGGGAGCACAGTGTTTTGACCCACAGGAATAAATTCGCATGACTAAGCGACGCCTAAGCACCCGCAGCAGCTCGTAATACTTGTAACCCTAAAGTTTGGCCCAGTAGTGTCACGTTAACTTCTCCTGCTTTTAAAGCAGGCACTATGGCAGCAAGGCTAGACATATTTGTGTGCAAGCTTTGATCATTTAGTAGAAAGTCATTAAAAGCTCTAGGACTCACCTTAACCTTAAACCCAATTGCGCAGAACCAACGTACGCCGGTGGCAAAAGCTTAGCATCACAAGCATTGTGCGTAGCAGCTAACTAATGCTAAGGAAAGCGGTCCAGGAAACAATAAGAAGGTTTAGTCAACTTGGTTAACAGAGCTGTCATAGTTGGCTCCCTAATGATTACTGTGACGTTCGCATAGGACAAAGTGTTAGAGAAACTGAAATAGGCAGAGTCAGCGAAGCTGTTTCCCATTTTATTAATAATTTTCTATGGACCTTCACCAGTCAGCGCAGCAGTAGTTTAGTGCAGGTACGCTCCTGTATCGTGAAAAAATTAGCATATTATTAAATTCACCTACGATTTATGTTATCACTTAAATAGAATCAAGCCAGTTCTCATTGCGAGGAAGCAATTAGCTTTTAGCATTTGAAAATAGTAATACTTCAAATAGAGACAAAAAAAAGTCAAAGAAAGCTGTACTTCAGAAGATCTCTGGAGCTGAGTCGCATTGGATAACGCTGCAGCGAGTTATGTAGTTCATGGGGTTGTTACTGCACAGATTCATGAAGTATCAAACTATTAATAAATCATCATACGTAAACACATACAGTTTCTGACGGAAATGAAAAATGAATTACTGGTTGAGCCAACGGCCTTCCGAATGCAAACTCCCCATACAAACACTAAAGCACAGGCGAATGCAAGTCATACGCATTGGTTAACTTTCGCCAGTTGAAACACAGTGTCAGCAAAGAGCCAGATGAAACGACTGAGTTTTAAATACCGGCAGCCACAAATTACTGAGTATTGACTTTTAATGGCTAAAAAAACCTTTCATCATTTGTAAGTGGTCTTCATGAACCACATTTATGAACAACTGCTATATGACTTGATCATTTCTCCTCTAACTGTAATTCTGCAGTAACTTACAAACATTTACCAAAGGTTCAATCAGTGCGTCAGCGCCATTGGTATATCATTTAAGTCTACGTAGGACAGGAGCTCATTAGTCTGCTCTGCGTGGGGACGGCCCAGAGCTTGAACCATCACGGCCCCATTATTAAGTAACATTTTCTTGCTATAGGTTGGCAATAATGATACAAAATGTGGGAAGACGCACTATCCAAAGTTGGTGAGCAAGAAATAGTAGAGTTTTCTTCCTATGCTTAAATAAGGTTATTTTGACACGCGTATTGAAGCATATGCATAGACAGTTAATCATGATCACTATGCACTTTCCTAACTGACAGAAATTAAAGATGACCCTTGAACTTTGAATAATGCCACTTTCCATCTCTTGTATCATTACTGTCGTCACATGACATAAAACTAAGACGTCATAGTGGAGCTGCGGGGGTTTGAACCCCGGGCCTTCCGCATGCAAAGCGGACGCTCTACCACTGAGCTACAGCCCCATACATGCCATACTGTAACGTGCAAACGTCTGCAAAATCTGCAGTCGCTGTGTCAACATGATTTACATCATTAAAAGGATATGCGGGGCTGTAGCTCAGCGGTAGAGCGTCCGCTTTGCATGCGGAAGGCCCGGGGTTCAAACCCCCGCAGCTCCACTGTGAAGTCATGCTTCCTTCACATGTAATGACAATAATGATAGAAAAAATGGGAATAAGCTTCATTCAAGGTTCAACTTGAGACCTTTACTTTTTGTGTTAATTTTGAAAAGTCAGTGCTATTCATAATTAGTCATCTATTTAGATACTCTAGTGCACGTATCAACGTAACCTTATTTAAAGGTAGGGGAGACTTTGAGATAAGCGGACCAGTTTTCACAGTGACACCAAAACAAGTAGTTAATCAGTTAAAACCACAAATGACAGAGTACATAGCCGATTCCATTTACTCACAGACGATGCAGAAAACGTAAGCCAACGTGAATG